TCCCAGGTCCAAGTTCTGAGTTACTTCCCAGGTCCAAGTTCTGAGTTACTTCCCAGGTCCAAGTTCTGAGTTACTTCCCAGGTCCAAGTTCTGAGTTACTTCCCAGGTCCAAGTTCTGAGTTACTTCCCAGGTCCAAGTTCTGAGTTACTTCCCAGGTCCAAGTTCTGAGTTACTTCCCAGGTCCAAGTTCTGAGTTACTTCCCAGGTCCAAGTTCTGAGTTACTTCCCAGGTCCAAGTTCTGAGTTACTTCCCAGGTCCAAGTTCTGAGTTACTTCCCAGGTCCAAGTTCTGAGTTACTTCCCAGGTCCAAGTTCTGAGTTACTTCCCAGGTCCAAGTTCTGAGTTACTTCCCAGGTCCAAGTTCTGAGTTACTTCCCAGGTCCAAGTTCTGAGTTACTTCCCAGGTCCAAGTTCTGAGTTACTTCCCAGGTCCAAGTTCTGAGTTACTTCCCAGGTCCAAGTTCTGAGTTACTTCCCAGGTCCAAGTTCTGAGTTACTTCCCAGGTCCAAGTTCTGAGTTACTTCCCAGGTCCAAGTTCTGAGTTACTTCCCAGGTCCAAGTTCTGAGTTACTTCCCAGGTCCAAGTTCTGAGTTACTTCCCAGGTCCAAGTTCTGAGTTACTTCCCAGGTCCAAGTTCTGAGTTACTTCCCAGGTCCAAGTTCTGAGTTACTTCCAGGTCCAAGTTCTGAGTTACTTCCCAGGTCCAAGTTCTGAGTTACTTCCCAGGTCCAAGTTCTGAGTTACTTCCCAGGTCCAAGTTCTGAGTTACTTCCCAGGTCCAAGTTCTGAGTTACTTTCCAGGTCCAAGTTCTGAGTTACTTTCCAGGTCCAAGTTCTGAGTTACTTCCCAGGTCCAAGTTCTGAGTTACTTTCCAGGTCCAAGTTCTGAGTTACCTGCCAGGTCCAAGTTGAGAGTTACCTGTCAGGTCCAAGTTCTTTACATCATAACTTCCCTCGTGAGTTACCTGCCAGGTCCAAGCTCAGAGTTACCTGCCAGGTCCAAGCTCAGAGTTACCTGCCAGGTCCAAGCTCTGAGTTACCTGCCAGGTCCAAGTTCTAAGTTACCTGCCAGGTCCAAGTTCTTTACATCATAACTTCCCTCGTGAGTTACCTGCCAGGTCCAAGTTCAGAGTTACCTGCCAGGTCCAAGTTCAGAGTTACCTGCCAGGTCCAAGTTCAGAGTTACCTGCCAGGTCCAAGTTCAGAGTTACTTGCCAGGTCCAAGTTCAGAGTTACCTGCCAGGTCCAAGTTCAGAGTTACCTGCCAGGTCCAAGTTCAGAGTTACCTGCCAGGTCCAAGTTCTATGTTACTTGCCAGGTCCAAGTTCAGAGTTACCTGCCAGGTCCAAGTTCTATGTTACTTGCCAGGTCCAGGTTCAGAGTTACCTGCCAGGTCCAAGTTCAGAGTTACTTCCCAGGTCCAAGTTCTTTACATCATAACTTCCCTCGTGAGTTACCTGCCAGGTCCAAGTTCTGTTTACATCTCATAGCAGCGCTGTATAGGTCCTTGTGGCTTAGCGCTTCTTTTTGATTATAATAACAATAATTTACATCATAACTTCCCTCGCTTGCTGTTGCTAGAAATTATCGAGGTTAATTTGTTATGAAAAAGTTTTTTATTTGGACTTTATATGCATAAATATTTTTACAATGGTCTTGAGAGCGCGCGCGCGTTATGGACAGACGCAGTACTACTACTACCTTCAGTACTACTACTACTACCTTCCATACTACTACTACTACCTTCCATACTACTACTACTACCTTCCATACTACTACTACTACCTTCCATACTACTACTACTACTACCTTCAATACTACTACTACGTTCAATACTACTACTACGTTTAGTACTACTATTACTACTACGTTCAATACTACTACTACGTTCAGTACTACTACTACATTCAATAGATGTTACCTACGGTAACTCAAGAAAGTCAGTGTGACTTGTTTCCATTGAGAGTCCTTGTATTCAAGTTCGTGGGTTCCTGAAAAGATTGAGATGGACTCGAAGAACACATCAAGCTTGATCTTGAAGTCAGTTAGGGGTGTGTTTATAATTTTTCACACATTATGAGAGGGTGTTGAAAAGTCTTGGATCCAATACACTTATTTCTTAGTGTTCACATTGCACTTCTACTGCACACTTATTGGTAGAAAGTTGACCTGTTACTCCACAGATGTTAAATGTGCCTCTTATTGTGCTTATGAAATCCCTATTTTTCACTGGGTTTATTCTAAACTTTCCTGTATCTAACACTTGGGAAGTATCTAGATATTCACCTCCAGAGAGTTCATTCTGAGTACTCCGAGGCGGTGCCAATATATTCTCTGGAGTCAACGACAGCAGTAACTTTTGTATTTTTGTCCCTGGATGTATCTTACCTGCTTTATAGGAAGATTGTGAACATAGACGGTATTACAACAAGCACCGTTATTAGTGAGACATCTCTTATTTGAATACGTCACATAATTCATCATATTTTTCTGGTGTTGGTGATACTTGTGTTGTTCTCTGAAAGTTAGTTAAGTCGTCTCACATTAATAGATTGGTTTTATCTCGTGTTATCTGACCAAGGTTTAGTGTGTGTTATATCCTCTGCCTAACAAACCATACCACGGGCGGGGATAGAACCCGCGATCAGTCTCTCAAAACTCCAGACCGTCGCGGGTTCTATCCCCACCCGTGGTATGGTTTGTTTGCAATCGTGTCATTGCGATTTCGCGAGTCATCCTCTGCCTGTTTTAGTTTTCATGGTTACCGTTTCTAAGTAACTGGAGTTTTGGTAGGTCTTATGTTCTGAGTAGGACAGTGGAAGTGAATGAGTGGGAGTGAGAGGAGAAGGTTATCCGAGTGTAGTTGTTCATTCATTACCTGAGATAACTTGGATACTCATTTGATCATTTCCCGTGAACGGTGCGTTGATTGTTCGTCCCACTACCCCTCTGACTCACCTCACCTATTATTTAAGCTAGCTTTGTCCTCACCCTCTCTGTTCTTACCCTCTGTACTCCTCTGTTTTACTTGCTGAACCAATTTTTGGGCTTCCTGGCTTCTCTTAGAGTACTGTTATTGTCGTCACTACTAGTTTCTAGTACCCGGGATTAATTCTGTGGCGGGTGGAGATTTATGGTAACCATCCTACAATTCTTGCCACTTTTCACATCGCAGTAATTAGGTACCTGGGGTATTAGCCGACTGTTGTGGGTTGTATCCTGGGGTGGGTGCTTTACCATAGAAGAGGTTGATCTTTGAACTAAGGTGAGGTGGGATAACTGTAAGCCAGTAAACGCAACCGTGTAAATAAAACTATTATTCGTTAACCTAATTGATTTTCTGCTCCCAGAAGTCGCTCATACATACTCATGAACTCTCTAGTGCATGACTTTAGTGCCTGTTTTCGCCACGTTATCTAGTGTGCTCCATTGCTACCCTGACAGAAAAACTAGCTTCGTAGTCCCTGTGGTTCATCTGCCAGCTTTGTCCCCTGACTCATAATCCTTACATCTCAAACAATTTGTCTTTATGTAAAGTAAAAGGACACAAGTGCAACTAATGTGACATTTATTGTGGCAACGTTTCGCTCTCCAGGAGCTTTATCAAGCCATTACAAAACGTTGCCACAATAAATGTCACATTAGTTGCACTTGTGTCCTTTTACTTTACATATTGTCGGTAATTCTACCAACTTTATTACAATTTGTCCTTATTTACTCTACCAAGTCTTCAGAGTAGTTTGAATGTGACGATAAGTTCTGCTCTGGCCCTCCTCTCTTAGTGTTTCTAATTAATTTAGGTCTCCTCGTAGATTTTTGTCATTTCCGGTACCAGAGTCGTTGTGAACCATTGAAGTTTTATATGTCTGATCATCTAGATTTTAAGTCCTTACTGGTACTATATAATCAAGATTGTATGATGTTCTAAGCGAATCTTTAAGTTTCTGAAGCAACTCCTGAGTTTGTCGGTGATACCTGGAGTATATCTGGAGAGGGTTTCGGGGGTCAACGCCCCCGCGGCCCGGTCTGCGACCAGGCCTCATGGTGGATCAGGGCCTGATCAACCAAGCTGTTACTGTTGGCCGCACGCATCCCGACGTACGAGCCACAGCCCAGTGAAGTTATAACTCCTGTATATATTGTGTGTAGCTTCTCACACCCACAATCTGGGAGATGTGGGAGCCGTGTAGTGAAGCTTTCCATTGGCTGCTTTCTTGCAAATAAGATATGAAGCGGTGGCCTCTTATTCCTCCATCCCTCCTCATAAACTTCTGTTCTTAAAAGAAATCTCAGTGTTCTCTGCACATGCTGCCAGGTTATGAGAGTTATGGTGGAGAGAAGAGTTGTGGAAGTAGTGTGGTGTATATAGGGGATATTGGCAGAGGGTGATGTTATGATGGCACAAGTGGAGGTGTTTCCTTCGAAGTTTGGTAGTGGTGTTGCAAATGGTTTTGATAGGAGTGTTGCAGGTTGCAGACTAGGTTGTGGACTTGAGGTACTGTTGGAGATATTGTTGGTTGTTAGGAGGTATTAGTGATGGCAACGATGTGGTGGTGGCAGTTTCCATAACTTATTTTTCTGCTCAAAAAACACTGTACTTGCTGGACTGAGTAACCCAACAAGAGTTTTAACTATTAAAAGCAGCTCTGCCCACAACACAGTGGCTTCTCTGACGAACACCATTCCCTGTCGTATATGCTAAGTACTTGCTAAGTTGTTTGTGAACGTCCTGTGTTTGTGTGTACTCGCCTAGTTGAGGTTGCAGGGGTCAAGTACTAGCTCCTGGCCCCGAGTGTGTGTGTGTGTGTGTGTGTGTGTGTCCATGTGCATATATATAATATATAATGTATATATACATCCACATGCACATGGTTGTGTTTGTGGGGGTCGAGTCCTAGTTTCCGACTCCGCCTCTTAAATACGAATGACTTGTTCACGTTTGTAATTTCACCGTTGTTATCAATGTACCAATTTTCTTATAGTGAGGACAGCAAAGTGAAAATAATGTTTGTGTGAAGCGTGAAGATTGTAACGTGGCGGAGTTAGTACCTGTGGAGGGATGTAGTGTGTGTGTGGCAGTGAGAGATCAGCAGGCCTTAGAGATGTGACGTCTCCGTTGATCATATCGTAGATGATGGACTTCACTAGTGATGTGAAACAAGGCTAGTCGTCGTTGATGTAAACGGTGGATTTGATTAAAGATGCCAGAGATGAATGGGGAGAAGGACCACGAGATAATCACTGTGGAGGCCAGTCATCACAGTCACTGCCTCCTGCAGCCAGAGATCGGAGGTGGGAGATCGAAGAACTTAACACCAAAGAGGTTGGGTGTCGAAGAATCACTGGACACACATTCGAGTGGATTCAAAACCACAGGAAAACCATCAGGAGACTCGCGCCCTGCTGACACCCTTCTCTTCGGGGCTGATGGCTTTGTGGTGGACGTTGGGAGGACAACAGTGAATGGTGGCAGGACACCTGATAGGTGTCCATCAATGGAGTCCTCGACACTATCTCCCGTCGCTGATCCTTCCAAACCACAGAACGGTACTCAGCACCCATTCCAGACACTGAATACCATTGAGCACCCTTCACAATCACTAAGCCCCACTCAGCAGCCGTCACAGCCATTGAGCGCCTCCCAGAACTCACTTAAGAACTTTGAGCTTAGCACTATGGCCCAAGGAGCGTTAGAGGTCCAAGACATTGGGGAGAGACTCAAGAATAGCAGCAGCAGCCCATCTCATGTGACAGATTCAGGAAGTTGGCTGGGGTCAGTAGTGGTGGCACTCCCAGGTGAGGGTTGGAGGTGCAGTGTGGTGCAGGGGAAGGTGAACATCTACGAGACAGCTGAATTAAGGGAACATGCAGCCTTCAGGCACTATACTGCTGGAGGAGTCAGCGTGGTCGTCCACCCGGAGAGTGGAGTTCAAGATGGCACCTGGAAGCCTACCCTGCAAGACTCCGACAGTGTTGACTTCCTCACAGCTAAAGCGGTGTGTAGTCCTCTTGGCTCTTGCTCTAGGCCTAGTATATAGGCTCTTAATATTACTCTAAATGTAAGGTGTAAGCTCTGGATGTTGCTTCAGGCCTAGTGTGGAGGTTTTTTAAACTTATTTTGCTGCTGGGCACCCCGTCCAAATATTTCTTATCGCAAAGAAACAGGCAAAATTGTTTTCGAATTCAAATATATTTAGTGATCGCTACCAAGAATACTTTACTCCATTCGTAACTCTAGTATATGTTGTTAATATAGGTAAGAAAACAATTTTACTTTAAATTGTATTAAATTATTAAATATTTTGAACATGAATATAATAATTATAATATGAATATTGAGCATGTATAAAGTGTAAATTGATGAAAGGCAGTCGCTTGTTAAATGCTGTGTTCTCCGGATCAGGGAAAAATGAATGGTGATTACTGACAACTTGGAGAGAGGTTATAGTATTATACTGATACATCAGTTTAATATGCACCCCATACCCATCCTGTGGGCGGTAGTCAAAAGATTACAGAGGTACATAATGGGTCCAGGGACTGGGCCCCAAAGTTTTAACAGCTGAGCAAGTTCAGTGCCGTGTCTTTCTTTACCAAGTAGTTCATTTTCAGCCCACTCACGGCTCTTTGGTTCACTAGGAACAAAGGTTCAGAAAGTCTAAAGGATCATTCTCCAAGAAACCCTCATTTGAATGGCAACTGAAAATAAAAGAAATATTCCTTGAAGGTGTTTAAGTCACCGACTGCTCTCCTGAGGGGCGTGTAAATCATGATATTTGTTGATGTCTTCCATCTTTGTTTCACCGTCTACCCTTCAATAACAAGAGTCATGAACAAAGTGAGGGGGGGGGGGCAGCTCTCGTTCAAAGTACCGGAGATGATCGACAGATTTCATCACCGGGGCTTGCAGTATGTACATTCTCATAAACCAGATTTTTTTTTTTTGCGTTGAGCAAGGTGAGGAGCAGGTTCCTGTAACCAAGCTCTGAGGTAAAAGTTTTGTAGTTATATCACTGATGGTCTGTATTAGTTTCCTTCCCGACTTGACCCGACCTCTGAACATCCAGATTTTGAATGAGTGTATATAGTACCTTTCTGCCATCCAGCAAGAACTGTGCAGTGTTCTCCCCTCAAGGAAGGTTCCTTGATGTTGGTGAGGGGCTCTTGATTTAGGGAATTGAATCTGTGCTCCAGTTCCCTGAATTAAGCCTGAATGCCTTCCACATCCCCCCCCAGGCTCTGTATAATCCTCCGGGTTTAGCGCTTCCCCCTTGATTATAATAATAATAATGTGCAGAGTTCCAGGAAAACGGAACATAGTTCCTTGATACTGGATGCCATTCAGGAAGATTGTGATCTCCGGTAGCGCCCGAAAATCATCCGGCAGTTGAAATCACTCCAGCTGAGCCTTTGCAAAGTTGATGACCTTATTGAATTATGGAGCAGAAAAATTATTTATCGACGAAGGGTCACTGCAGTTGAAATTACTTAAACTGCTTATTTTCAAGCCCGGGAGTCACTTGGCCTTATTGTCTACTTGTCCTCATCCCAATATGACATTCTTCAGGACACATGTGTCACTCACACCTCACTCCGCCTATATAACACTTGTCTTTTTAACCTCTGTATATTAGAAGTAACCAAGGTCCCAGGACTGAAACATTTTCTAATAAATATGACCTAGTGATGGCTCATGTCTGTTAAAGCAGCATGTCAGTGAACGACATGTCTGCCTGTGCTTCCATTCCCACTCAGTCTCAACTTTCATAATTGTCAGGCTACCTGCGCTTCGTAGTGAAAATAAGATACCACATATACTATACAAAGGTGTTTGTATAGTGTTTACCTTACGTGGCTAGTAATACACAGTTGTGAATATTACAGTAATACACAGTTGTGAATATTACAGTAATACACAGTTGTGAATATTACAGTAATACACAGTTGTGAATATTACAGTAATACACAGTTGTGAATATTACAGTAATACACAGTTGTGAATATTACAGTAATACACAGTTGTGAATATTACAGTAATACACACCGTTGTGAATTTTTACAGTAATACACACCGTTGTGAAATTACGTAATACACACCGTTGTGAATATACAGTAATACACATGTTGTGAATATTACAGTAATACAACACGTTGTGAATATTTACAGTAATTTCACATGTTGTGAAAATTACAGTAATACCACCGTTGGAATATTCAGTAATACACACTGTTGTGAATATTACAGTAATACCCCACCGTTGTGAATATTACAGTAATACACAGTTGTGATATTACAGTAATACACATTGTGAATATTACAGTAATACACAGTTTTGAATATTACAGTAATACACACTGTTGTGAATATTTACGTAATACACATGTTGTTGAAAATTACAGTAATACACACTGTTGTGAATTTACAGTAATAACAAATTGTTGTGAATATTACAGTAATACACATTGTGAATATTACAGTAATACACATGTTGTGAATATTACAGTAATACACATTGTGAATATTACAGTAATACCCATTTGTGAATATTACAGTAATACACACTGTTGTGATTTTTACAGTAATACACAATGTTGTGGAATTTACAGTAATACACACTGTTGTGAATATTACAGTAACACTTGTTGGGAAAATTACAGTAATACACATTGTTGTGAATATTACAGTAATTTCACACCGTTGTGAATATTACAGTAAAAACACACTGTTGTGAATATTACAGTTAAAACACATTTATGTGAATATTACAGTAATACAACACTGTGTGAATATTACAGTAATACCGTGTGAATTACAGTAATACACACTGTTGTGAATATTACAGTAATACACACTGATGTGAATATTACAGTAATACACACTGATGTGAATATTACAGTAATACCGTTGTGAATATTACAGTAATACACACTGTTGTGAATATTACAGTAATACACATCGTTGTGAATATTACAGTAATACACACTGTTGTGAATATTACAGTAATACACACCGTTGTGAATATTACAGTAAAATTTCACACCGTTGTGAATATTACAGTAATACACACTGTTGTGATATTACAGTTTAAAACACACCGTTGTGAATATTACAGTAATACACATGTTGTGAATATTACAGTAATACACACCGTTGTGAATATTACAGTAATACCGTTGTGAATATTACAGTAATACACACCGTTGTGAATATTACAGTAATACACACCGTTGTGAATATTACAGTAATACACACGTTGTGAATATTACAGTAATAAAACCGTTGTGAATATTACGTAATACACATGTTGTGAATATTACGTAATATCACCACGTTGTGAATATTACAGTAATACACACCGTTGTGAATATTACAGTAATACACACTGTTGTGAATATTACAGTAATACACACCGTTGTGAATATTACAGTAATACACACCGTTGTGAATATTACAGTAATCACACGTTGTGATATTACAGTAATACACATGTTGTGAATATTACAGTAATACACTTGTGAATATTAAGTAATACACTGTTGTGAATATTACAGTAATTTCACACTGTTGTGAATATTACAGTAATAACACAACTGTTGTGAAATATTACAGTAATACACACTGTTGTGAAAATTACAGTAATACACATTGTTTGAAAATTACAGTAATACACATGTTGTGAATATTACAGTAATACCCCTGTTGTGAATATTACAAATAATACACACCGTTGTGAATATTACAGTAATACACACCGTTGTGAATATTACAGTAATACACACTGTTGTGAATATTACAGTAATACACACCGTTGTGAATATTACAGTAATACACACTGTTGTGAATATTACAGTAATACACACTGTTGTGAATATTACAGTAATACACACTGTTATGAATATTACAGTAATACCCCACTGTTGTGAATTTTTCAGTAATACACACTGTGTGAATATTACAGTAATACACACTGTTGTGAATTATTTCAGTTTAAAACACACCGTTGTGAATATACAGTAATACACATGTTGTGAATATTACAGTAATACACACCGTTGTGAATATTACAGTAATACACACTTGTGAATATTACAGTAATACACACCGTTGTGAATATTACAGTAATACACACTGTTGTGAATATTACAGTAATACACACTGTTGTGAATATTACAGTAATACACACTGTTGTGAATATTACAGTAATACACTGTTGTGAATATTACAGTAATTTCACATGTTGTGAATATTACAGTAATACACACCGTTGTGAATATTACAGTAATACACACTGTTGTGAATATTTCAGTAATACACACTGTTGTGAATATTACAGTAATACACACTGTTGTGAATATTACAGTAATACACACCGTTGTGAATATTACAGTAATACCGTTGTGAATATTACAGTAATACACACTGTTGTGAATATTACAGTAATACACACGTTGTGAATATTACAGTAATACACACTGTTGTGAATATTACAGTAATACACACTGTTGTGAATATTACAGTAATACACACTGTTGTGAATATTACAGTAATACACACTGTTGTGAATATTACAGTAATACACACTGTTGTGATATTACAGTAATACACACTGTTTTGAATATTACAGTAATACACAGTTGTGAATATTACAGTAATACAAACTGTTTGATATTTCAGTAATACACCGTTGTTTAATATTACAGTATACACAATGTTGTGAATTTACAGTTACACACCTTTTGAATATTACAGTAATACACACTGTTGTGAAAATTCGTAATATTCACACCGTTGTGTATATTAAGGGAATACACACCGTTGTGAATATTACAGTTTAAAACACTGTGTGTTATTACAGTAATTTCAACGTTGTGTATTACAGTATACACACGGTTGTGAATATTACAGTATACACACCGTTGTGGGAAAATTACAGTAATACACACTGTTGTGATATTACGTAATACACACTTTGGAAAATTACAGTAATACATGTTG